ACTCAATTGCGCTGTGGTCATCGCTCAGTTCATTTCAAGTGGTATCGTGGCGGGTATTCAAGCCGCGTGGAGCAACTACCTTGTTGCAATGATCATCTCAACAGTCTGCTCTTTCATTGCAGCAGCCGTTTCGATCGTGTTGTATTTTGTCAAGACCAAGGATGACGACGCACTCCTTATCAATCCAGAAGATAATAATAACTAATCTATTCTTTAAGTGGAAGTCGTCCTTCTCCTTTCTTTTTTACGTCTTTTTATATCCACCTTTCAATTTAATAGAGATTGGTAATAGTTAATTTTACTATTGAAAATCGCATGCGAGGGACGAATTTCTAATTCAAAAATGTAGTATTTGCTTATTTTATACTTTTTAAACAGCAGTTTTGGGAATAAGTAATCAAAGACTCATCAATGATAGATGTCCCAAAATTGTTTTTTTCTTGGTATGATTGAGTTGAAAAAATCATTTTTGAAAACATCAAAACCCTAAAAAGTAAGACCACCAAATGATATTTCCTCTTTTTCTTTCATATGGTTTGAAATCGTGAGTATAGTACATTAATAATACAAGAGTAGTATAAGTATAGTAAAACTGAATAAAAAGTAACTCGAAAAGAAAGATGTCCAATCCAGAAGAGAACCACGACGCTGTAGTCGAGAAAGACAACAAAGAAACAAAGCCTGTCAAAAAAGTGAAGAAAGTGAAAAAGACGACAAAGAAGGCTGGTCTCCCCGACTTTTCCGCGATTAAAGTGAAACAAAAGCCGAGTGAGAAGAAGTCCTCCAAGACGGAGAGTGAGAGTTTGTACACATACGATCAAATGCTCGACATGATCTATAAGAAGTGTAATGTGACTCAAAGCACTTCAAAACAAGAGATCGAACTTCCTCGTATTCTAGTCGTCAGAGATGGTTCGAAACGTGTGATCTGGCAGAACTTCAGTGATATTTGTAAACGTCTTCACAGACTTCCAGAAGATGTTAAATTGTTTGTCCTTGAAGAATTACAAACGATGGGGTCGATCGACTCGAAAGGCGGCTTTACTATTAAAGGTAACTTGAACCCAACACATCTCGAGACTATCGTGTACCAATACGTTGCTCAGTTTGTCCAATGTCCCGTCTGCAAGTCACTTCAACACTGAAC